TGAACATGGATTGCTGGAAAGCCTTCATGCTTCTCATGAGAGGCACAATTTTTCACCGGTCCGGAGAGGCTCGAGTAGCAAACGCAGCATTCCCTCACGAGGAGTAAAGGGGGCTGTGAGGCTTTTCATTCACCCAGGATAGGGTCATTTGAGCACCTGCTGGCCAGAGAAAATTATTTTAAAATATGACAATGTTACTTTGTGTACATCTAATGAATGAAATCTGATTACAGACGGCTTTGGGTGTTTTTGCTGAAATGGAAAAGATGGGAATAATCTCAAAATCCAACGTTACTGAGCTCCACCGGATTCTGTCCGAGTTTGATCAACAGCTGGCACTGACTGTACAAAACTACATGAACAGTAAGAGGAACACACAATTTTTAAATAATTTACACTATATTTCTAGATGTGCCTGTTTCAGGAAGTGCAAGCCTGCTGGATGAAAAAGTAGCTTCAGAGAACAGGATTTGGAGTCTTATTTCCTGATATTTGGACATCTGGCCTCTGATTGGCTAACTGTAACGCAACTCTACCACTGACTGTTTGCTCTGCAACGTTGATGTTTTATCTCCACAAATAGCACAAGCCTGAAGGAGTTCTGCTGTGTGGTGGAGTTGCTAATGCTAATGTTAGCATCTAGCCAAGACATGCTCTGCTGTTTGCTGGACGCTAAAGCAACAACATCCTTCCCCGTCGCGTTCAGTGACCGTGTGACTTAGATCTGTCAGGCTTTTCAAATCCTAGAGCTTCGCTGTCTGAAGCTAATGCAGGAGGTAGGTGTAGGAGACTGTTTTCATGTTCAGCCTTGTAGAAGTCAAGTCCAGTACTCGAACTTCTGAGGCTGCTAGACCGGGACCTGGTTGACGCTCTGTGTTGATCCGATGTTGACTGATTAAATTACGTAAAAAACAGCCTTAAGCGTGGAATTGTTATGATAATGCTTGTTTAATGTTGATTGTATTCCAGGTGAATGATAGGAGTAATTGCTAACTTTCCCATTCAAACGTCTTCACGCCACAGCGATCAAAAACCTGTTTGCCCTTCCGGAATAGTGCCTGACACCAACAATGACATCACTACCTTTATTCCGACCAGTAACAATGACACGCCCACATATCAATTAAGACATCGAGACCAAAGAAAAGGAAACAACATATTTGGCTCCTACACACCGGCCCCTAATTGTTATTGTCAATAACAATTTAAACTAAATAGAGTAGGAGCAACCATAATGATCAGGTCGATTTATACCCCATTAACAAGGCAAAGTTTTGTCACTGGCCTATCCAAAACATTGGTTTTTGTTTGCAACCTGACTGAACGTACCAATCCATTCTTATCTGGAAAGGTTTTCAGAACTCTCCCAAGTGGCCAAGAGCCACGTGGAGCGGAAGGATCCATAATCACAACCACATCTCCAGGGACCAAACTCTTTCTTCTTGCATTCCATTTTTGTCTCTCTTGGAGTAAAGGTAAGTATTCATGGATCCATCTTTTCCAAAAAATGTCAGCAAGATACTGTACTTGCTTCCAACGTCTTCTCATGTATTGATCTTTAGGTTCAAACACGCCTGGTGGAAAAGCGGGTTTACGCTTTAAAAGAAGAAGATGATTAGGTGTTAGAGGTTCAAGATCGTTGGGATCGTCTGAGAGTTTTGTGATTGGTCGATCATTCAAAATGGCTTCTACTTCACAAAATGTTGTATGAAGTCCATCATCATCCAACCGTTGTTGATGTAGTACTGAGTTGAGAACCTTTCTCACTGAACGGATCATGCGTTCCCACACACCACCATGATGTGAGCCTGTTGGTGGGTTAAAACTCCAGTGTACCTCAACCTGTGACAAGGCTCCTTGAATCTTGTCCTGATCCAGTGCTGCCAAGGCTTCCTTCAGTTCTCTTCGTGCACCAACAAAGTTGGTGCCATTATCAGATGTCAAATGTGTCACCTGTCCTCTTCTGCTGATAAAACGCCTTATAGCATTTATACATGCGTCAGTGTCTAATGATGCAGCAACTTCCAGATGAACGGCTCTGCTGGACATACAGGTGAAGAGAACACCATACCTCTTGCATGTAGATCTTCCTCTTTTTACTTCAAAAGGTCCAAAGTAATCCACTCCTGTGTTGGTGAATGGTGGCAAATCAGGAAGAATCCTAATTTTTGGCAAATCAGCCATTTTTTGTTCCATTGTTCTTCCAGTATAACGGCTGCAAAAACTACATGCACCAATGATCTTTCTTACTGCTGAATTTCCATTTGTAATCCAAAATCTTCTTCTCACCTTTGACAGTGTATGAGTCCGTCCACTGTGACCTAGATTCTGATGTACATGTCGGATGATGAGAGTAGAGATGTGCTGGTCTTTGGAGAGGATATATGGATGTTTAACTTCTTCAGGCATTGATCCTCTGCTCAATCTTCCACCCACTCTCAGAAACCCATGCTCCAAAACTGGGTCCAGTTTATAAATTGAACTTTGTCGACTCACTATCCTTGTTCCTGAGGACAAAGAAAGAATCTCCTTGCTGAATCTTTGATGCTGACTTTTGGTGCGAGACCAAAGAAAAGGAAACAACATATTTGGCTCCTACAAGCCTGCATAAAAAACTCAGGGTGACCGATTAAAATCAGAAATAATCATTAAAAATGTTTCTGCAGTCAACAATACCTTTAACTCGTTAACGGCCAGCCGTTTCCTGATCAGAAAGCCCCTGACTGCCAGTGTTTTTGAGCGTTTTTACTGATTTTTTTTTAAGAGTCACAGAACATTGTGCTCCATGATTATGTAAACGCCAAAACTACCAAATGAAAGAGTAGAATCAGAAGGAATCACCGCATTTTTAGGTTTATCCGTTCTTTCGTAATCCGTTGTCAAAACGTGGGCTACAGCTTTTCCAGTTGGCACCTTACCTTTTCACAGCAGAGTCCCAAAACGATCTCCTAAATCATGGATTTTCTGCTTCCTGATCATGTGAAGTGTGACATACGTAGATGAAGATCAGCTTTAGAGACGTGATGTTTATTCTCGTGGTGCGGGGGCTCGTTTCGACGCCCTCCCCGTTAAAAAATGTCTTTGATGACTTTAGTCGTCAATGGCAGTAAACGAGTTAATGGCGTCTTATCTGTTTTTGGTTCTACCATTGTTTTTCAACTAAACCTGTTCTTCTCAACTTTCACTGTTATGCACACTTTTAAGAGCTGTAATTAACCCTCATCATCACCATCATCATGCTTTACGTTTATCGAACACACACACACACACACACACAATAATCGGATGACTAGTAGTAGTTCCTATGTTAAAGCTGTTAAAGCGAATCTGCAAACCATCTAGGTTTTGAAGGCAAACACAGTCATGGAACACTCACCCCTCCCCTCTGGTGCCTTCACTGGTTCTGCGTCCACCAGAACCGGAAACCCGCATTGCCAAAGGAAACGAGAAAGCGCTAAACACCAGTCAACGTTTCTAAGTCCAAACGTCTTTTGCTGTCCGTTACTTTAAATAATGTTTTTATTTTTGGGGGGGACTCTGGTAGTTTGTCCTAAAGTTGAAGTGGTAGCAGCCGGCTGTTTCTCCTTCTCTGATAGTTATAAGCGGCGGACCTCTCACACCAGTGGTGTTCTGCTGCTTAAGCCGGGCGGACACTGTGCGACTTTTTCACTCGCAGCGTTCAGCTTCAGCTCAAACTGTACGACTTCCTCGCAGGGCAGATCTCACGAGTCATGTGCTCACGCTGCACGACCCAGTTCTCGCATGCGACCTGACTGCTCACACTGTACGTCTGGTAGCAACACGTCGGCCCTAAACATATGCTAAAAATAGCAGTTTTTACTCAACACGTCAGTCTTTTTTGTCTTGTTTTGCCTGTTGTCCTTCGGGAGTGCTGCAGGAGGACACACAGGGATTTATGGGGGTTGGATGAGGAAAACGAAATAAAGAAAGTAAATCTGTGTTTTGTGATAGTTTAATTTGACGTGAACACGACAAACACGCTTTCTTGACAATCTTTGTGAGTAAAAAAACGTGTAGAAACAAAAACGAACAGCGTGTGTTATTAGGGAAATAGCGAGGAGCGGTGTTGATGCAGGATTGCGCGTGCGCCGTGAGCGGTTCTGATACTTTTTTGGGTCGCAGCTGCTCGCAGCGCCGCTTCAACAGTGCGATACCCTCACGAGGGACGAGCAAAATTTTAAACACGCCAGAAGTCCTTGCGACCTCACGACTGCTGATCGGCAGCTGGTCACGTGGTGTTAATCGCCTCTAACCCCCTGTACACTACACGACCGCTCGGCGCAAAACTCGCCCCGATGTCGTGGATTCTCGCACGAGTGGAAAATCGGCTCAAAAAAGTGAAAAAGTCGCACAGTGTATGCCCGGCTTAAACACACGAGTGCAGGGCTGAAAAGAATCATTGAACGATTCGAATGGTTGGATTCATTAAATTCCTTGATTCATTTTTTTTTACTGATTTGAAGCTTTGTTAAATGTGTGCACCACAGTCTGAACACGTTTTACTGGCACACGATGTGGTGATTTAGGTGCTGTGGAGGAAAATAGAGAAACCAGCAAAGCCACAAACCATTGTAAAAGGCAGAAACGGTTTAAAATTTGGGATCAAGAGTTAAAATATGGGCAGATTAGCTAATGCTAAGCTAGCACGTAGCATGCTCACGATCAAGTGGGGTTCAGAAAAAACATGATGGTTGTGAATGACTAAATTCTACAAGTGGAAGAAACATCACCCATTTCTGTGGATGTGTGCAGCTGCAGCGGTATGGAGCAGAACCGCTGCAGCTGCCTGGAGTCTGCTTGTTGCTACTGAGAGTCAGCCTGAAATGGCTCGTTCTGCATCTCCTCTAAAGAGTAGCTCAAAACTCAGCTTTTCATGCTGGCTTATGTGTAGATCTGCTGCTTGCTTATTAGCTTCTTTTCCTGCTTCAGTTGCTGTTCTTTCTGTATCCCTTCTTCACTTCTTAGTTTAGGGGCTGCATGGTGGCGCAGTGGTTAGCACTGTTGGCTCGCAGCACGAAGGTCGCAGGTTCGAAACTCGGCCGCGGCCTTTCTGCGTGGAGTTGCGTGTTCTCCCCATGCATGCGTGGGTTTCCTCCGGGTACTCCGGTTTCCCCCACAGTTCACAACATGCCCTATAGGTTATAAATTGTAGGTCGCTTTGGATAAAAGCGTCTGCTAAGTGAATAAACATAAACATAATAAACATAGTGCTTGTGAATTACATTGTGATTTTGTTTTTCCTTTAAAAGGTGCTACAGAAAATGTTTTTAATTGTCTTCTTTGTTAACTTCCTTAATGTGAAGCACCTTATTAGAAGGAGGCTCTATAAATAGACCGAAGGTGTGGCTATAGGTTGTGTAGTTGTGCTTCGGGGTTTTCCACAGGTGTTTTCATACTAATTTGCCATTGCTCTCTTCAGGAGTTCAACATCTACAAAGACCACCTCTAGATGCCCCTTCCCATGGCAGCATTGACCAACAGGTGTGTGTGTGTGTGTGTGTGTGTGTGTGTGTGTGTGTGTGTGTGTGTGTGTGTGTGTGTGTGTGTGTGTGTGTGTGTGTGTGTCCTTGAATGATTGAGCTGACCCAGCGACTCTTTTCCCCTCTCAGAGACCCAACAGCATGGCTCTGCTTCAGAATTCTCCGTGTGTCTGTGAGACTCAACCCAACAGTAAGTCTCTCACTTTAAATTTGTTTACTCAAAACATTCATAACCCTTCTTCCTAACAGTCAGAAAACATTTACATCCTGCCATTCTGTTTTTGTTCTTTAGGTACAGGACCGCTTGTTTGTTGTGATTTATCCAGTGAGGTAATGTACTTCCAGACTTGTGGCTGCATCTCTTAATTCGTCCCTTAATCCGATGTGTTTGTGTCCTGTAGACAGAGTTTTACCTTCTGACTCATGTTCCCAGAGGCCGCTGTGTGATCATTAACAATATGATCTTCCCAGCGGAAAACTTGTCGAATCGTAGGGGAAGTGAAAAGGATGAAGGTATGTTATTTCTACACGTGACTGGCTACTCACGAAGCTCTGTGGAAATCACAGGTCAATGCTGCTGATCTAATATGTGAAGTGGTAAACTGGTTTGTTCTTTTTGTCCCTTTTTCTGTGACAGAAGCTTTGTCTGAACTGTTTCAGCGATTTGGCTTTGAAATCGAATTATTCTCAGACCTGGATGCAGAACAACTTAACAAAACAATCAAAACTATGACTGAATGGGATTATTCACAACATGACCTGTTGGTAGGTAGTTTCAGTGTCAGAGCTGCGTCTGCAGAGATTAGGCACACATAAAGACCCTTAGGCTGCGTTCACACTGCAGGCCTTGATGCTCAATTCTAGTTTTTTGAGTAAATCTGATTTTTTTGTGTGGTTGTTCACACTATGACTGAAACTCTCCTGAACTCTTCTGTCAGCGCTTCTTCTCAGGAACATCCACACACACCGCTTATCTCCGCTGACTCAGTGACGTAGGAGATGGATTTAATGAGACATGACCGTTCAGACTGCAGTCGCTTTCAAAAACATCAGATGTGTGTCGGAATCATTGACATATAAATATTGGACAATGGGTTTCCATACACTCCAATAACACGTTTTTGTACTAAAATGGGAGGTGGCCACCACCGCCATTTTGACCGTGTCACAGGTTCCGTCAAGCCCAGACGATTCTATAAAAGGGAAGAGAGGAGGAGCTGAGGGTGGGGCTGTAAGGCTGGGATCAACTGATGACACCCGGTCGAACTAGCTACAAGCTAACCTGAAGCTAACCCAAAGCTAATGCGGAGGTGGGAGCTAAGCTAACGGAGGTAGCAACCTAGCTACAACCGGAGTTAACTGTGCACAACACCAGAGCTTCTGAGTCAGAGATACGCCGGGCTGACCGCTGGGTAAAACCGGGTGGAACACAGAGGTCTCTGAGAGCTCCACAAGCTGGCAGCCGCACAGCAGACAAGCGGCGCTGCGATCTGAGATGCGCCGAGCTGCGGGGAGGGGAGAAACGGTTGGAAAACATCGGTCTCCCGAGAGCTCCTCAAGCCGATAGTCGGAACCCAGCTCCACCAACATGTTATATTTCAACCCATTTTCTAAAGTGCAGCGTTATGTTAAATGCACTGGGTTTTACCCTATTACATTTAAATTTCATGGTTAAACAGTACATGTTAAAATCTAAGCTCAGCTCGGCAGTGACCTAAAACACATAAATATAATTTTACTTACCGAAAAAAATGAAGTGGAGACTCCTTGGACGCCCTATTAGTGCAATTAATGCCACAGCAAGTCATTTTGTCCAACAATTTCACAAATAATATCCAAAAACGAATACACAAACACTACAATTAATGGTCTAAGTTGAGAGACTGAAAATGGCGGAACAGGTTTCAGGCTGAGGCCTTTCCCCAGAGCTAGCTCTGTGGTCACGTGGGTCTGATGCTCATTAATTATAAAGAATTTTAGGCTTTTAATACACTTAAACAGAAGAGTGAGAAAAAAATTCACCCCCCTCAGAGTTGTCATGAATGTAAACTAGATCATTTAAACAAAAACACATGTTTTGGAACCAGGCTGTAAACATGTTTATTTCTGCTGTGAAATTGGTATTTTTAACATGGGAGTCGATGAGGATTTGCTCGCTTCTGACACCAGCCCCCAGTGGATGAGGGTGGAACTGCAATTTATTTCACTTCTGGGTTTGCTTCAATTTTTGACCCGCATTGTGGGGGCTTGGTCGGAATTAGTACTACATATTCAAGTGACACGGATGGCATTTAAAAAAACTGGATCTGTGCATTCAGACTGTCATAAAAAAATCAGATGTGGCTCGCATGTGGGGAAAAAAGCAGATTTAATGCGCTTTTGCCTGCAGTGTGAACGTAGCCTTAGTTGTGTTTGGTTAACGTTCTTTGACTAGTTGTGATTATTTACATGCAAAAGTACAGCGTGTTGTTAAAATGCTAAATAAGTTTAACTGGAGTTGACACACACTACTAATTAAATGTACATCTGCCTGTGATCTTTCTGTTAGGTCGTGTGCATTCTTACCCATGGAGAGCTAGGGTGTATCTTTGGCACTGACGGGGGGAAAGTACTGCTGAGAGACCTGATTAGTAACTTCTGGAATGATAAAGTTCCCTCCTTGTCAGGAAAGCCTAAAGTGTTCTTTATTCAAGCGTGTCAAGGTGACCGCTACCAAGAAGGAGCGGCGCAGGGCCCTGTGCAGGAGGAGTCGTTAGCCTGTGAGCCAGATTCGGGTTCTGATGACCTGGATGTCAGCCTGCCTGCGGAAGCAGACTTCCTGATCAGCATGTCCACCGTGCAGCATTGCAAGTCTTTTCGCTCCATCAACAGGGGTTCCATCTTCATCCAGGAGCTCTGCCAACAGTTGCAGAAATCGGCTGAAAGGTGAGGTAGTCTTGAGTAGCGGTCAGGATTTCCTATCAGACTGCCATGTCAGGTTTTTCCTGGCACTTTCGGGCTCCATACAGTATTAGCGGAGAACGTGTAGTTTTTTCTAGATCAGAGGTAGAAAGGCATCTGTAGGAAATGTGGCGCCCCTTCAGAAAACAGACCCACGAGTTGCTGCTGTAGTCTCAACATGCCAGCCTCAGTCATTATGACCTATACTGTGCAGGCTAACTAAATCTGTTTGCAAATGTGTTTAAAAAAAGGAGAAAGTGAAAGCTACAATGGCTAATCTGCAAAACAAGCGGTCACAGAACAACCTCCTGTCGGCTATCGGTTGTTTCTCCTTGTCTGATATAATTGGACGGAGAACCTCTCACACCAGTGGGCTTCAGTTGCTTAATAGTGAGCGTCTAGTGAGTGGAGGACCCAGGTAAATGTGGAAGTGTGGTTCAGTGAGACAGACAACCAGATGGTCCAATCACTGGTTTAAGGCCGAGATGTGTTATTTGCAAATGCAATAATAATAATAATAAATAAACGCTTCATTTGTTTTCTTTTTTTTAATCTCCACAATATCTTTATACCTTTACTATGTTACTCTGGGTAATGACCGAAAGAACGAGATCGCGGATACAAGCGGCCAAAATGAGTTTCCTCCGTAGGGTGGCCGGGCTCAGCCTTAGAGATAGGGTGAGGAGCTCGGACATTCGGGAGGGACTCGGAGTAGAACCGCTGCTCCTCCGGATTGAAAGGAGCCAGTTGAGGTGGTTTGGGCATCTGGTCAGGATGCCTCCTGGACGCCTCCCCGGGGAGGTGTTTCGGGCATGTCCTGACGGCAGGAGGCCCCCGGGTCGACCCAGGACACGTTGGAGAGGTTACATCTCCAATCTGGTCCGGGAACGCCTTGGGGTCCTGCCGGAGGAGCTGGTGGAGGTGGCCGGGGAGAGGACGGTCTGGAGCTCCCTAGTTGGGATGCTGCCCCCGTGACCCGGACCCGGATAAGCGGAGGAAGACGACAATGACGACTTTACTATGTTCTAATTTTCTTAAGAGACATGAAAACAATTTAAACTAGCTTTATTTATTTATTTATTTTACAGATTTGCCACTGCAGCTCTTTTAGTTTTTCTTTGCTTAAATAATCTGGTTTAGTCGTAGAAGATTCTTTATCGGTAAAACAAAAACATTTACAGATAAAAGGAGCATTTACATGATCACGCTTAGTTTCACACATGGACAGTACTGTGTTAAGACTTCCTACAGTTGGAGACGTTTCATTTCTGTTCTTGTTTTTGTCTGCAGCTCGGAAAACGATGACATACTGACTGTCCTGACTCGTGTGAACAGGGAAGTCGGCAGAAAAGAGTATGAAACATACAAACAAATGCCTCAGCCCAGATACACCCTCACCAAGAAACTTGTTTTTAGATACGTCAGATGATGATGATGATGATGATGATGATGAGTTAGAAGTCAGATGTGTGACACAGATCCTCAAAGACTTGATGCAGTTGTAGAAATGTACTTTTCTTCATAATGCACCAGTAATGTACTGGTTTATAGATCACACACCCCAATATTCACTGATTCTGATTTATTTCAAATATCTATACAATAAGTTGTTTTTGTTGACTGTTTTTTTTATCTTTTAGTGTCTGATTATCATGGGAGTTATGATGACAGTAGAAAAACTTAGATGTGGAAGATCTGTCATTTCTAAACCATATAAAGGGACGCTGAGTTCAAGGACAAATGTTGGATTTTTGTAAAGTGCCATTGGGCGTGAACTAAATATGTGAATTTTAGATCGGCTAATGTTGATTCCTGTCACCATCATGTTTTGGTACCTCCCTCTTCAGTTTAGTGTGTGTGTGTGTGTGTGTGTGTGTGTGTGTGTGTGTGTGTGTGTGTGTGTGTGTGTGTGTGTGTGTGTGTGTGTGGTGTGATTGATCAAATTAAAATATATTTAACATTTTAGATAATCATATGACAAGAAAGTGATATGATATAATCATGTATTATTATCACTGAGTTTGTGTTCTAAAAATGTTAAACAAATAAACGATGCATAAAAAGGTCCTCGTCATCAGGACCTCACATCTGTGTTAAATGGATTATGTGTGAGTGTATGTTTAACACATCTGCCCTTTATTTATTTGAATGATAATAAATAAAACAACTGAAAAAAATGTATTTTTTCTACGTGTATGCTTTAACTGGCAAAAGGATGGAGGTGATGTGTCAAGTCTGAGGTAAAGGTATAGAGACCTAAACCTAAACTGGCATGTTTATGATCAAATATTAGTGGATCATGAATTTCTTCTGTATGTATTTTGGGTCATTTGCATAGGTGTCTCTAGCCTGCCTTTAGGGGTGCTGAAGCACTCCAGCACCCCTACTGTTAGAGATTTGTTTATTTATCTGTTCATTTTTAATGTTTGTAGTTGCATTTAAGTAACCAGTCAACAAATTGTAATGCAGTTATTTTTTAATGTTTATTTGTCTAGATAGACTTTTAGAATGCTTACTTATTAGAAATACTTGCTGTACATTTTTTTTCCAGACATTGCATTGTTGCATTGAATAATTTGGGGAATTTCCGCCCTCCGCTGGCAAAATGCTGAACAACAAGCTGGTTTACAACCGTATTTAGAGAAGGGAAGATGGGGCGTTGCTGCCCTCCAGTGTCTATGACCTGGTACTACACTTAGTCTTTTTTCCCCATTTAGAAGATGATAATCATTTGAATAAATTATATGTAAAAAAAATTACTTCAGATTTCAGCAGCAAGGTTAACGGGATGCAACAGACCCAGAACTGATTTCTAGAACAAGACATGAGTTCACTAGGGTCCATCGATTAAAAAAGAAAACAATCTTTTATAGAGCACCTCTCAAGGTACAAGTCACGAGTCGCTTCACAAAAACAAAAAAATTAAAGTGTAAAAATGTATTTTTTAATGATTAAACATATGTTTAAAATGAGGACAAAAATAAAAGTTGTGACAGAAATTTTTTTTAAGGAAATGGAGAGAGTAAATGAATAGGAAAGAGAAATCAATGGATCTCGGGAAATGCAGAATAAGAGCAGAATAAGGAGAGGGTGATGAAGGTCACACCAAAGCCAGCTTGAACAAGTGAGTCTTCAGCTGCTTTTTAAAGGAGACCACTGAGTCCACTGATCTCAGGCTCAGGGGGAGAGAGTTCCAGAGTCTGGGGGCCACAGCAGCAAATGATCCGTCACCTTTGGTCTTTAGCCTGGTGCTGCACAACCAGTAGGCTTTGATCACTGGACCTCAGGGACCTGCTGGGGGTGTAGGGACTGAGAAGATCATCAATGTGTGGAGTAGAGGGCTGCATCTGGATTGGGTCCCGCGGGACCCAACACAAATCTTGCGGGGGCGGGTGGTGTGAACTTTGCTGCGGGCGGGAACGGTCGGCTAAAAGAAACAGTACGGGATCGGGATGAGTATGATGGAGTCGGCAACTGATGTTGAAAAGAACCTGAAACAAGGTCTTTATGACACAAAAACCAAAGCAAGGCAAGTCAGACTTTTGGAGGAGTTTCTCCGACTGTGTTAATATTTCTCATTCAGGTCTCATTTTTGCCGGATGACACAATGCACATTTCCTGCATGGTAATAACTCAATGTGCCTAACAGTAAAAGAGACTAAGTAAAACAATCAATTATAAAGTATGTAAACACAAACAACAAATGGTGTATACATACATAAAATATACACACAAAACTAAAATCTATACATTCAAACTTTGACACTGTTGACCAACACCTGCTACTGGAGAGGCTGAGAGACTGGGTAGGCTTATCAGGAACTGCTCTGGAGTGGTTCTCCTCTTATCTTTCTGAGCGTTCTTTTTCTGTGGCCGTCTCCAAGTTTAGGTCCTCCACCACCTGTCTTACCCATGGTGTCCCACAAGGTTCGGTGCTGGGGCCTCTGCTCTTCCTCCTCTGTCTGCTTCCTCTTCAGCACATCCTGAGCTCCTTCAAAGGAATCTCCTACCATCTTTACGCAGATGACATCCAACTGTACATCCTCTTTAAGCCCCATGAGATGTCTAAGCTGCAGCTGTTACACTCCTGCTTAGACTCTATCAAAACCTGGATGGCTGGGAACTTTCTACAGCTGAATAGTGTTGTCAAAAAAATCGATACCCAGATATAAATCGATACTAAAAGTGGTATCTAAATGAGATATTCCATCCCTGTGGTATCGATATTATGGACTATTATACACAGCCTTCTTCAAGTACACCGACACGCACGACAGCCAGATGCCGTAAAGCAGCCTCCGCCTCCCAGACAAACAGAAGAAGAAGACGCCGCATGGCTACATAGCAATTTCCCACGCGAGTTGTCTCCGATCCAAGTTTTGTCTGCCAAATAAATAAACAAAAACATAAACAGCGAATTTGGGAGGCGCTTCACAGCCCAACTTAATTAGCATACCAAGTCCGACACGTAGTTGTATATTCACGCTTATGTGCTTAAAGGAAACTCCCGTTTATTGCAACCCGGACTTAATTTCTAGCATGCAGTACGTTTGTTTACTCACGCTGACAACTTTGGTGCTACTTGGATTCCCCGGGGTATTTAGATCCATCGGCGAATCGCCGTCAGTGTATATCCATATAACGGGTGCGGACGGGCACCCATGGTGCAGCCTCGAAATAAGACATTATCTGCACCAAAACATCTTCATGTCGAAAGGATTTGTTAGGAATCATTAACGTGATTCCCCTGTTCGTTTGGAGCGGGTCTGGGATTTCTAGGCGTAAACAGACTAGCTGCGGCTAATCTAACCGGTGCTTTTAATGACGTCACTGCCGTGCGCCAGTCTGTTTTTATTAAGATTACCGGTAGATGTACCTTTGTCCTACTGTGGAGAAATTCGTTTTCTCCATTTATTGACCAACAGAGTTGTTGAAAAGTACAGAACAAAACATATGGCATTACATCTTATGACAAAAATGCACCTTAAACAGAGTTTAAGCAGCAAAACATCACTCTGCAAATAGAGAATATATAGTGAGACAATTCATGATTTAAAGTGTTAACTTTTACCAGTTTTTGTATGCACGTTTTAAAAAATGCTGATACTTGAAAGGTTTAAGCACTTTATACACTTAATTCTTAACATTAAATTTTTGCAATATAAATTGAGGAATGTTATTTTTTGAATAAACTTGTTCGATAAATGGGTGTTTTTAAATAGTATCGGAATCGAGTATCGAGTTTTTCCAAGTATCGAATCGAGTTTGAAATTTTAGTATCGTGACAACCCTACAGCTGAATGAAGATAAGACTGAGATCCTCATCTGTGCCCCAGACAAGCTGGTTCCCAAAGTCAGAGACTCTCTTGGTCAGCTTGCTTCTCACACCAAACCTTCTGTCAGGAATCTTGGCGTGACCTTTGACCCAGCTCTCACCCTGGATTCTCATGTCAGTTCTCTTGTTCGCTCTTCCTTCTTCCATCTCAGGAACATTGCTAAGCTGAGTCCCATTCTGTCCCGCTCTGAACTTGAGACAGTTCTCCACACCTTCATCTCCTCACGCTTAGACTACTGTAACTCTCTTTTCACGTGTCTGAGCAGAACCTCCCTGAACCGTCTACAGGTGGTTCAGAATGCCTGTGCTCGGCTTCTGACCAAGTCCTCCAAACACACCCACATCACCCCACTTCTCCTCCAGCTTCACTGGCTGCCAGTCAACTTCAGGGTTCATTTCAAGATCCTGGTTCTGGTCTTTAGGGTCTTACATGGACAAGCACCACCTTACATTGGTGATCTTCTCAGTCCCTACACCCCCAGCAGGTCCCTGAGGTCCAGTGATCAAAGCCTGCTGGTTGTGCAGCACCAGGCTAAAGACCAAAGGTGACAAATTATTTGCTGCTGTGGCTCCCAGACTCTGGACCTCTCTCCCCCTGAGCCTGAGATCAATGGACTCCTTTAAAAAGCAGCTGAAAACTCGCCTGTTGAGGCTGGTTTTTGTATGATCTTCACCACTCTCCCTTTATTCTGCTCTCCCCACTTATTCCACCTTCCTCAGGATCCACTGATTTCCCTCTTTCCTATTCACTCTCTCTCTTTCTTACGATTTATTTAATCACAATTGTCTATTTTTGCTCATTTTCTATATGTTTTTAACCATTTTCTAAATTCTTTTTTATATTTTTACATTTTTTTGTTTTTGTGAAGCGCCTCGTGATTGTTATCTTGAGAGGTGCTCAAGGCCGGGTTATAATATGGGCAAACTGGGCACAGGCCCAGGGGCCCACAGCCACAAGGGGGCCCACGCGAGCAGCAGTCTTTTTTTTGTGTGCAGTAGTCTTAACGTTGGAGAAAAAAGTTAACAAGTAATAAACTTGTGCCCGCATTTTTTAAGTTAACAAACATTTCTTGTAACAACGGTAGTTTTTGCATCTTTACTGCCTGCTTCAGCCCTCCCCTCCCCGCGCAGCGGCCACAAACTCACTGATGCGCCTGCAGCCTCTCAGAGTTCCTGCTGATCTAAACATTGAAAGAATCATTTCATTTTCTGTTCCTCACTTCTGATTACCTTCAATGGTGTCTGTTTGTTGCTACCTGGTACAAAAACTAACTTGTTTTTTATTTGACTATTTTTCTCTCCTGTCTGTTTATCTTCCTGCATCTCCTCTCAATCCTGAAGAAAAACTGCTACATGGCTTCATATATACTCACCTCATGAGTTACCTTTGAACTGCAGTTCTAAAAAGATCTACCGACCGCAAAAATAGCAGTGCTGCGCGCCGGCTGCACCGCTGTGGTGAAGTCACCGGAGGATGAAACCGGTGATGCGCTCCACAGCAGTGAAACGCATCAGGCACAAATAAAAGACAGAAAACATGAAAGGATGTGAGCCGACATGAACGATCGCGTGTTAAATTTGTTTTTGAGGTGGCGACACTTTGAGAATGTTACTGTGGCCGTGCTCAGGAAGCATCTGTCTGGAGCGCATCAACGATCAGAGCTCTGCGCCTCTCAGCTCTAAATAATCCCCAGAGAGTCCACATAGTGGAGATTCCCATCTGTACCTGGTCGGCCCAGCCCGGATAGCATAGCTTGCTTCCATATCTTGGTGGCCTGCCTTTTTTCAGGGTGCAACAAGACTGTTTTTCAGCCCTCTTTCTGAGGTGGTCTGATTCAGGCTGACCAGGGCCAACACACCCACTGCTGACAGCAAATTCACACCTTCCATTAGAGCAAGCCTCTGATTGGTGGGTAGAATCAGCCCACATGGCCTTAAGGCATGCTCAAGTCATCATCATTCATTATCATGCTGATTACCTAGAAACTGAAAATGTCTCTGACTGCATTCCTTGCATACCTAAGCAAAGATGTGTGGAATCAACCGGGCCAGGCTGGGGCCGACTGGAGCTACCCGAGCAGGGCCGACCAGGTACAGATGGGAATGGCCCAATATAAGCAGTACCATGATCGTTTTCGGGCTAAAAAAATAGTCTACAGTCCATCTTCCCTAATGTGTTTGTGGCCCTGCAGATTTTTCTAACTCTACCAGTTACAAATTGTGAAGGGGAACGATCATTTTCACATTTGGCAAGAATAAAAAATTAACTGAGAACAACACAAACTCCATCGCATCAGTGCACTGTCACTGATGGCTATTGAATCTCAGCTTGTCAGGAATCTGGACTTTGATTACATTGTAAATGAATTTACTAATAGATAGGCCAGAAAGCAGTTTGTCTGAAGGCAAGAGAGGAGACAAAAAGAGGGGTAAGGAGACAGGAGACAAACAAAAAACATGCAGATATTTCTTCTTTGCAAACCTTTCAATAGCTGTATAATCTTTTAAATAATCCTGCATTACTTTCTGTTGTACTTTGACAGTGGGATCTCTTTTACAGCAGACTCACTCGCCCCCACTGTCCCACAGATTGACAACATTTTTGTTATTACAGACAGAAGAGAAGACAGGAGCACCGTGAGGAAGAGAGAGAGACAGAAAACGAGGAGAAAAGAGAGAGGACAGAGAAAGAAAGATAGATGAGTGAGGCACAACAGGAAAATCATCAGGTATGAGTGTTTGTGATTAGGTTACAAAGCTATTTTGACCTGGAGGTAAATGCTTTTGTAACAACATATTAAGCGATTTTTAATATTGACAATGTTATGAAACATCTAAAAAGTGCTTCTGGGTGACAGTAATGTTGGGGAGGCCGGTGGGGGGTGGGGGGTGGGGGGGGGGGGGGGCTAGGCACATTGTGCCCAGGGGCCCCTGCAATGATAATCCGGCCCTGGAGGTGCTATAGAAATGATATTTTCTTCTTCTTCAACTTTTCTGCATGGCTCTTCAGGCTGCGAATGCTGTCATTAAACCAGGGAGGAGATCAGTTTGCTGCAGGAACAGTCACCAGAACTGAGTCCTGTCCAGAACCCCCAGGATGTGGAGGAACGGGAGGTTCTCATCATGGATGTCGCTGTGTGATTATATGTCATGTCAATAAGGACCAGAACCTCTGAGGACCTTGTTGAATCATGAAGAATCAAGGTGGAGGTCCAAGAACAGTGTTCCTCGTGTGCTATAAGGGAGCGTGGATATAATTTGAGAGGGGAGTTAATTTTACAACTTCCTTGTATCAGAACAACATTAAAAAGTTTTTGCATCTCTGTATGTGGAGTGAAGCTGTGGAACAGACTAGGTAAAGATATGAAGCAATGTCCGAGCACGGTGCAGTTTAAAAAGCGGTTTAAGGATATGGTTTTTGCAGGGTACAGGGAGGAGGTAGAGACTTGATAGGGTGTTCACGTTGAGAATTTTTTATTATGTATTTATTTATTTTCTTTTTTTTTTTCTTTTTTGCGGGGGCATGGGTATGATGGTATGTGTATATATATATATATATATATATATATATATATATATATATATATGTGTGTGTGTGTGTGTAGGTTGTGTATACTATGAAGTGTTACTGGGATTACTGAAATTGTGAATAGGTGTGTATGTGCATGTATGTAGATAGAAACATATATGTATGTGTATATGTAGGTATATCTATTTATTACTAGATAATGGAAAAGGGGTGGGATTAAATAAGCTTATGCTTCTTCCTGCTCCTTTTTGAACATGAATGTTATTAGTTCGTTTTCTTTTTCTGTTTGTTTTGAGGTAATTATTATTTGTCTCTTTGAATTCTACGTTGTTGTACTTTTTTTTTTTTTGTGTTCAAAATAAAGATTTCAATCAATCCTAATGACCAGTAAGTAAATATTTCAAATGCATAAAGAGATTCCTTTTAATTGTTTAGTCATAATATTAGGGAAATAAAATAAATGTATTATCCAGATTATTATTATTATTATTATTATTATTATTATTATTATGATAGATGCCTAGCAGGAGAGCAGGAATGATGAGCAGCATAGTTTCTCAGAAATTTGAGAATGTTGAAGAGGAAGTCAGCGTCTATGGAGCCTTGTACCTCCCTATGCGCGCGCGCGCGCGGGTGTGTGTGTGTGTGTGTGTGTGTGTGTGTGTGTGTGTGTGTGTGACGGATTCACCCCACCCTGCCTTCCCCACAGTTCCAGGAAGCCTGGTCAACAGGCGCTTCACATCTTTCCTGCAGCTCCCAGCGGACCGCCCAGGCCGTCCAGCACCAACGGAAAACCGTTTTCAGGAGGTGGAGAGGACACGACTGACTACCCGGAAATAACTCAGTCGTCTGGGATTAACTAGCACCCGGTGGAGGGCTCGTAGATCGGTGAGTTTAGCTGGTTTGGTCGCTTCGGTGTGAGCGGTGAAATCTGTGTGTTTTACCTGAAAACGTGTTTAGTTCCTCGGTTCAGGCTGGAGGGGAGTTATCTTCGAACCACCTGAGCTCTGGTTTTAACTAAAAACGGATCAGACATTTTTGTTTTTTGATATCCTGCACCTTCAGTTAGACATGTCCAATGCGCGGCCCGCGGGCCATGTGTGGCCCTCAGAGGGATTTTCTGTGGTCGTGGGGTGATGTCATGCTCCAGGAGGTTGTTGGTGTAAACGTGCTTAACATTTATTTCCACAGGTTTTTACTAAAGAGGCTTATTTATGAGCAGCACATAAAAATAACCTCAACATGACAAGTCTTTAAATAAAACAGACCCCGTTTGTGTGGCTCATGACGACTTTTAACTTGACGGTTTTGTTTGAAAGGTTTGAAAACCCCTGAGTTATTTTTTATAGATTCATGTCTTTAATGGCCTTTAAATATGCTAACGGAGACTTCCTAAAGTCCAAAATTGTGTCAAATCAGGAGGAAATAAAAGACTTTTACTGTAACATTTTATTTACCTGGCAGCCGCACACTTCCAAAGCAAAAATCTTATCAGTTTGGGTACATGACAGGGGCCAGGCCAAGAAAATGGAAACGTTTTTTTTGAGTAAAATTAACTCATTAACTGCCATTGACGACAAAAGTCATCATTTTAAATTCAACCGTTTTTTTACTGTGTGGGCATCGGAACGAGCCCCCGCACCGTGAGAACAAACATCCCAGCTCTAAAGCCGATCTTCGTCTGCATGCGTCACACGTCACGTGACCAGGAAGCAGAAAATCCACGTGTTAGGAGATTGTTTTGGGCCGCTGCTGTAAAAAAAAAGTGAGGTGCGAACCGGAAAAGCTTCTGCCGATCACAATTCGACAAGGGATTATGTAAGAACGGATAACGCCCGAAACGCGCAGATTCTTCCTGAAGTAAGAGGTGAGTCTACTCTTTTTTGTTTTGTTAGTTTTGGTGTTGACATCATCTTAAGCCGGGCATACACTGCGACTTTTTCACTCGCAGCGTTCAGCTTCAGCTCAAACTGCACGACTTCCTCGCAGGGCAGATCTCACGAGTCATGCACTGTACGTCTGGTAGCAACACGTCGGTCCTAAAAATATGCTAAAAATAGCAGTTTTTACTCAACACGTCAGACTTTTTTGTCTTGTCTTGTCTGTTGTCCTTCGGGAGTGCTGCAGGAGGACACACAGGGATTTATGGGGGTTGGATGAGGAAAACGAAATAAAGAAAGTAAATCTGTGTTTTGTGATCAGTTTAATTTGACATGAACACGACAAACACGCTTTCTTGACAATCTTTGTGAGTAAAAAAACGTGTAGAAACAAAAACGAACAGCGTGTGTTATTAGGGAAATAGCGGGGAGCGGTGTTGATGCAGGATTGCGCATGCGCCGTGAGCGGTTCTGATACTTTTTGGGTCGCAGCTGCTCGCAGCGCCGCTTCAACAGTGCGATACCCTCACGAGGGACGAGCAAAATATCAAACATGCCAGAAGTCCATGCGAGCTCACGACTGCTGATCGGCAGCTGGTCACGTGGTGTTAATCGCCTCTCGTAACCCCCTGTACACTACACGACGCTCGACGCAAAACTCGCCCGATCTCGTGGATTCTCGCACGAGTGGAAAATCGGCTCAAAAAAGTGAAAAAGTCGCACAGTGTACGCCCGGCTTTAGAGCGCAACGTTCTGTGACTCTAACCCCTTCTTTCCACCGGAGCCGTCAGCAGCACGTTACTGCAGCAGCACGTCTTGCTCGTGTAAGCTGCTGCTTGGCCCTTCACACGAGACGCGAAGCAGCAGGGGAGCAGCTGTCACCGACAGAGCACGAAGTCACACGAGTGACTTCGTCAAACACAACAACAAGCAGGAGAAAACTACAACATGGCTCCAAAAGATTTGTGTTTTATGTTCTGTCCCTTTTATAATCGCCAATACGGACCTGAAAAACAAAGGAGACCGCTAGCTAGGTGATAACTTCTCACGGGGCCGCACAGTTAGTAACTTTTTTAAAGTAAATCAACCGGAAGGCAGTATGTTTCTTTATTCTGAAAATCTCGGGAGCTTCGCTCAGTTTCCACGTCCGATTTCCTGTTTTTCCTTCCTCAAAAATGTTGAACTTGACCCGTTTCAGAGGCGTCGCTCATAGAAAATAGAACCGGCGCATAAAGGCCGCGACATGCTGCTCCTGAGACGCGGCCGACTCGCGCTGCTGACGGCTCCGGTGGAAAGAAGAGGTAAAAAAAAAATACTGTGAAAACGCTGAAAAACGCTGGCAGCGAATGGCTTTTCTGATCAGGAAACGGCTGCCAGTGAATGAGTTAAGGAAGGGAGCCTATTCTTACCACGCACCTGGTTCAACAACAACTGAAATCAGCTGACTGTAATTTGCTACACCTAAACGTTCTAGTAGTATACAATCATTTCCTGGGTGATGGTGCAGCCCGATTTGCTGCGTATACAGTGATGCGTGTTTAGTTGTTACACATTCTGTTCAGAAAAAAAAAAGCAACTTCACTTCATAGGAATGATTATGAAAGAGCAGATACAACCTCAGAGACAATTATAATTACAAACTAGGGCTGCAACAAACGATTATTTGGATAATCGATTAATCGGATGGGGTCTCGACACGATTAATCGATTAATCGGATTACATGGGGAAATTTTTAAAAACTGCTAGGGAAACGTTATTTCTCTCCTTCCTTCACTTTATTTAACACAACATTATTAGAAAACAGTTCAATAGCAGAAAAACAACATGCCATCACCTAAATTGTCTTATAAGGTGTATAGACAGAGACCCTAAGCTACATCTATCTGTGACCTAAAATGCTTGGTCCAAGTTAAACAGCTTAAGGGCAATTCTCATCTGTTTTGTTTGATCTCATCTGTTGACATTTATTTTAAATGTAATTAAACATAGGCTGTGAATTAATCAAAATTGATCACTATTTCCAAAAATGACTGAAAAAATACCAAATAAAACAAAAGTAAATGAATGCCATCCTCCTTGCGATGATGCCCTGGGCAACTGCCATAAAGTCACATCAAGAAATGCTGCTGATCATTCCAATGATCCCAAATAGACTCACATTAGGCCACATGAAAGCAACTGAACCCAAAAATATATTAACCAGTATATAACTGCACTCTCACACAACACGCCTGCAGCAACAGTTAGGACTCCTCCCTCCCTTTTAAAAGCATTTTTGCTTCTGAGGACATTGTGGTTGTAAAACCACAAGCTAGTAGTCTGGCCCCGGTGTGATCAACCAGTTTCTGCAGGAATGTGACTGCAGAAACTGGGCCAGATTAACACTTTGTTGTACCCTGGGCAACAATATTCAAGGGCTCCATCATCACGACCCAAGGATCACCATAATGTGGTCACATACAGAATATTTTACTGTAATATGCAGTAAATATACTCAATACTTGAATGCCTGACAACACGTAACCCGCCCAGAGTAACCTTTGACCCACCTCGTGTGGACTGACCAATGAGGAGAGGGTCTTAACTTGAGGCCCTCTCTTCATTGGTCAGTCTGCATGAGACTGACTCTCAACTGACGTTCAGTCGTAGGCAGCGAAGCGTCTCTGTGCAGCGCAAAAGCCCGGGTGGACAGTTTGTTTAATGTAGGGTGATCATATTTCCATTTCCAAACAAGAGGACAGGGGATCTGTGCCTATGACGTCACACTATGGCAACGCCACACAAACCATGTTGGGACCCATTTTTTGTAAGAACTAAATTAATATCAGATTCTGCCAATTAAAGGGCTCTAAAACAATTAATATGTAAATATTTTGCATAATTAATGCAAAATCTAATTTTTCTGCTTTAGTGCTGCAACAAGGTTTTATTAATAATAAATTATTATACCTTTTGTTTTACTACAGCATTGGTAAGCTTCCTGTGCACAGATTATTAAGGATGCTTGTTTCAGCTGTGAGATTAGACGATAGGATCAATGAAAAAATAAGTTGTCGCACACTCCATGGAAACTTTCAGAGAATCCACAAATAGTGGCTTTCAAATGGTTTTGTTACTTTTTGCAAGTTAAGAAAAGAAGCAGATGAGACAGCATGTCTGATAATTTAGTTTTTCATCTGATAATATTAGAACATGTCAGTAATGTCTGAGGGGCTTTTACAAACACTGTATAACTAACACTACTGGAGAGGGCATGAATTACACAGAGGCTTCTGGGGAGCCCAGTTAGGGGGGGGGGGGGGGGGGGGCATTTTGCCTTGGCCCCCAAAATGTCTTGAAACGGCCCTGGGTGTGTGACTGAGTTTTGAAGGTGATCTGAATTGTATCAGATGTATAAATATGACATGTGTATAACTTATTGTTTTTTACTGGTAAAAACGTGTAGTGGAGATAAATCTACCTACATTTTACTTTTCAACACTTTGTTTTGTTTTCTTGTTTTTATTTAACTATTTTCCTGTCCTGTCTGTCTCTCATCTTCCTGCATCTCCTCATAATTCTCCAGAAAATCTGTTGCCTGGATTCTTACCTTTTCACCTCATCAGTTACTTTTGAGCAGATCAAAGGGATCTCCTGACCGAAAAGCTCAGAGCGCGTTTTCGATGCTGCGTGAGGTGACATCACCACAGCACAGGTGATGAGCTCCGCAGTAGCGAGCTTCAGGCACAAATAAGACAGAAAATAGAGAACATGTGCGGACATGAACGATCGTGTGCAAACTATAGTTTTTTGGTTGCGCCACTTTGAGAATGGACCGTGCGCTGGAAGCAGCTGCCTGGATCGTTGCGCAACAATGCGGAACCGGTTCGCAGCAGCGCTAGTCTGCCGGCTCTCCCTCGCGCTGATCTGCGGCTCTCCCTCGCGCTGATCTGCCGGCTCTCCCTCGCGCTGATCTGACTTGCTCTGGTCTGCGCGCAACGGCGGGCGGGAAGGGGGGGCGCTTTTGG